AGCATATTGGTTTATAATCTTCTAGGTGTTTGTTGCCTTTCACACACACACACAATAACTCTTGAAGTGGTGTTATTCCACAAGACTGTGTAAGAACTATCTTTCTAATCCTCATGAGTTATTTTAGAAAAAATTCAAAATGTAAGCCATGAAGCTTTTTTCTGCAGCATCAGGAGTACCTGCACTATTAATAAAGCTGAAACAAGTCCAGGAACATGAGACCTCCTGAAAACTCTGCTTCTCATAAAGCACTGACATCTTGTTTTCCTGGAGCATTTAAACATCTTCACTATAACTATTTTTAAACATGTCCTACGCTGAGCAAAGCAACGGTACTTCCCAGGCACATTTACCACATTCATGGCAGGTTTCCATAAGAACATTTTGTTGTCAAAAGGGGTGTAGCACTTCCACTCCCACTGATACAGCTTTTGCCCATGTTGCAAGAGCAAACAATAGGATAACTATAATGAGGTTGGGAGATAATTTTGCCGTATCACATATTCATTCATGAAGGATATTAAGTAATTAATTGTATTTTTAAAAAATCTAACAAAAATTTTGTGTGAATGTTTACATGAAAGGACCATCCAGAAGGCTGCCTGTTCCTTTCTTGCCCTGCTTCTTCAGGTAGCTGCACCCAGAAAGCCTTATGCTTAATAACAGAAGTACTGGCAATTTCCAGCTCCATACAGACTTGCACACAAGGAGGACTGTGCTGACACTCATGCCATAGCAGGAGGGTGGTACTCAGATCCACTCTGTGTCACGGACATCTTCTCCCCATGCCAATTTGGGTTTGAATGTCATCTCTGCTGCCAACACCCCCTGGGTGCCCTGCACCCAGGCAGCTGGGGACAAGCAATGCCCTTTCCTAGTAAAAGAACTCCGAAGAACAGACAGATTCAGGGCTTTGACAAAGCCAAATACAAGCATTTTAAAAATACACCATAGACTTTCTGTCCATGCATTGAGACTACACTTTATCGCTGTCACACAAGATGACTGCCACCACCTTATCTGTGTGATTACAGCTCACTGGGACTCGCCTCTCTCTTCCCCACGTCCACCACAGCATGGCCTGGTCACACTGCTTCCCACCCTGCAGCCACCACTTAACTCCTCATTCTCCCTTCTCCTGGCGCCGCCCCCCGCCCAGGCCTGCCTGTCACATCAAGGCTGCTGGGCAGGCACAGAAAGCCAGAGGCACACTCAGCTCCCCCAACCCCGACTCCAGCGTGTGGGCCACAGCAGTGTTTGGGGGTCACCGCACCAGCTCCATGCAGCACAGGTCTGCAGAGAGACCACGCTGTAACACTGCACATCAGCTTCAACATTTGCTACATCTCTCATCCGTCATCAGTTTGGAGGATGCCACACCGCGTTTGGATTTTATCCTTTCTCCACATACTGACACAATGGAAAGGTGACAGCGTGGGGGTGGAAGCTCTCGCTGAGAGCTAGCTGAAGGACAGGTATTTGCATCTGCTGTTTGCTGCCAAAAATAGCAGCAAACCTGAGCTAAGGTAAAAGAGAGCACTGATCAGGAGGAGATGGTGTGAGAGGAGTCAGGGGACTCGTTTATGGGTTATTCCGTCTTTGGGCGATTCCTATTTGTTCAGTACTGGGGTTGCCAGAAAAAGAACGAGTACAGCCCTATCCTAAAGAGGCAATTAAAACCTACAGTTCTATCATAGTGAAAAGCAGTAAGCTCCCCCAAATACCACTGGCTCTTCTTGAAACTGCAGTATTTTCAGGTGCATTGATCTGTGAAAAAGAGATGCACAAAGAGATCTATGCTGGCAGGTAAAGGATAATTTTTAGGGGTCCCTTACAACTTAAGGCCTTCCTCTGTAAGGACAAGTATAGTTGTTACAACTGCAGCACACAGCAGTGCCAGAGACTTTGTCAATAGTTTTAAATTCCTAAGGCAGGTATTTCCTTTTCAGCTTAAACTCAAGATTTGTTACAGTTCCTGAAAAGGGTACAACCAGTCTTCCAGAAAAGCTTGTTTGTTTTAAATATGTTCCCAGACCAGAAGTGGTTTCTAGGTATTAAAAATAAAATAATTTTAAAAAATAATCAGATCAAGGATCCAGATATTCTCAAAACTAGAGAAAAACTATTATCCTAGAATAACAGCCCTTCAGTGCCCTTTCACAAGCTGGCATGCTGGCAAACTTCAAAGGTCCAGCACATGTCCTACTACCCCATCCTGAGAATGTAGCTCTATTTCATTATATACTACTATACTTAGAATCTCTGGTTTGCCATTGCAGTGCTATACTAACACTTCAATACTCAGGGAATGGCTACATCTGTGACAAGACCCTTGTGCCATAAGCAGCCCATCACTCCAAGAAGCCCAAAAAGCTCTGGGCAATTCAGCAGGGATCTGCACCCTCCTGCTGGAAAGCAGCCACCTGCTTATCAAGTGCCCAAGTTGTCTATTTTCTATCTTAATCTCATTTCAAACCACAGATGGAGTAGTACCTGCCTCAACACACATGCTGCAAACACACAGCTACACAAGAGGGCAAACAGGGCAGACTGGCTGGATGAGCCACACTTCCAGAAGCTGATTCAGAAACATCAGGACAGAATCAAAGCCAAATGCAGCAAAATTTGGCATAACTGGACATGTTTTGCATACACTGCAAGCTGAAAAGCATTTATAAAGCAGAGGGAAGAATAGAGCTTTGGTTTGATGACACACAGGTTCAAAGGCTGCTGATAACCTGATTTAATTACCAGTATCCTGTATTTTATTCTCACGTCTACACTGGTAAGAAATGCTGTTCAACAGCATTGGATGAATCTCAGCTCTGTCAGTGAGGATTTTAATACTAACTCATAAAAAAAGAAAGCACTCAGCAGAGTTGTATATCATCATGGAATTCACATCCTTTTGGGAGAAGAGTGCTTTTCAGATATCACTCAAAAAGTCCCAAGACTGAACAAAAAAATAAAATAAATTTATCTTCTTCCAGACCCTGAGAAGCTTTGAAGAGCTTGCAGATCAGCTCCCACTGGCCTGAGAGGCAAACTATGCCCTGGTCTCATGTGAACAAAGACCATCTGTCAAATCCAGCACACCTTTTCTACCCCCACCTCACATGTCAATTAAACAAAATTAATAGGACAAAGTCCACATTGTTTGATATTTCAGTCACCTCACAATATCCCTTTAAAATCTATGGCCAATGACTAAGCAGCACAGGTATTGTAAATATACAATATTAATTAACTTCTAATACTTGAGACTTTGAGATAACTTTTCAAGAACCATCTTAAACCTGCCCTGGTGGCAGGAGCACCTCCTGGCCTCTACCTTGTAGATAATACTTCTGAGGGTTTTGTGACTTGCCTTATCTTGTTTAGATTCCTCTCAGAAGGAGATAAAGAACTTCATTACAAAGATGCTTCTAGCTCCTTTTTAATAAAATACTTGGCCATGGCAGGTGACAGCAGCTGAGTTTGTGCTGCCAAATGGCTGCATAACCAAGTCTTACCAGGCTTCAGCAGAGCTGAGCACACTCTTACCATCCCTGATTGCTGATAACTGGCAATGCTTTCCCTCAGGGTGCACGTAAAATCTGGACAAGAGGGCGTGATGGGGGGTTCTTGTTTGGTTGGGTGGGGGTTGTGGGTTTGCCTTTTTTTTGTTTTTTTTAATTAAAAACAGAAAAGTGCATTTCTCACTTTCATTTACCTCACTGCAAACCTTTTGTCCTTTCCAGGTAATATCATTGGTTCTGGGATCTTTATTTCACCAAAAGGAGTCTTGGAGCACACAGGCTCAGTGGGACTTGCTCTCATTATTTGGGTGCTTGGTGGTGGGGTGGCTGCCCTTGGCTCACTGTGTTACGCTGAACTGGGAGTCACTATCCCCAAATCAGGAGGGGATTATTCCTACGTCACAGAGATCTTTGGTGGGTTAGCTGGGTAAGTACCCTGTGTCTATACCGGCATTTGAAAACATGTTTACACTAAGTATATTAAGTGTGGAAAAGAGACTTAGAAGCAACAGGGAACAGATTGTCAATAAAATGCTTTCACGAAGCCCTTCTTTCTCTTCTCATTAGAGATACCAAATTGCCCCTGTGCAAATCTACAGACTCTTTCACTTTCCTCTAAGACTCAATAAAATTCATAACAGGAAAGAACAGTGCTGTAAATGTCACCATGTCCAAGTGACATTCCTGCCTGCCAGCTGTGAATGAGCAGTACTTTGTATTGAGGAGCTTCATGCACCAAGAAAACCAGACTCAAATCAGCTCAAACTTTCTTAAACCAGTTCATCTTTAGCCATAAGGTGATATGTACTAAAGCATTTATTGTAAACTTCTTCCTTTTGTTAATGATACATGAGTAGGGTACACTCTACTTTCCTATTTTTACAGGCTGCTTTGATTCCATGGAATCATGACTTCATGTCGTATCTAACATCGGATCCTCTTAGGTCTACAGGCACATCCCAAACACATGTCTAAGACTCAGTTTCACCAAGTCCACTAGACTATTAGAGACTCAAATCAAACCATGTTGTTAATTTATTTCCAGAGGTGATGAAATTAATATGCAGAGATAACTGCAAAAAAGCTGTATTAGTCCAGGGATGACTGGCACTTCCACATGAATGCCACATCCTCCCAAAAGCATGTCCCATTGCAGATTGCCACATTATTCCAATGTGTTTCCAAAATGGGGAAAAATAATCTAATTAGAGACATTACCTAACGCACATGATCACTGATGGCAGTATAGCCATTAACTTCAATGGACTTTGGACCAAACTCAACATCAAAAACTATGGCAGAGGCCTTCCAGCTAGCAGCCATTGACTGTGGGTTGCTCAAAAGATTAAACTCTGGCAGTAAGGTTAATTTACTGTCACTTTTGCCACTAGCACATGCAGGAGCTTGTATTTCCTACACAAAGTCCAATGCTCAGAAAAGGAAAAGAAAGAAAGACAGAAAGAAACCACAAGAACAGATACATCTTCCTTTTTCTATGCATTCAGCTGTTTCCAGTCTTTTTCTAAAGGTCTGATCACTTCTTAGTCAGAAATGAGAGAAGACAATGTCTCTAGCTTCACTTCTTAGTCAGAAATGACAGAAGACAACGTCTCTAGCTTCTCTGTTGCTGTAAATTACTGAGTAGCTGTGAAAGCTTGTCAGACAGGGTTCAGCTCCTGACAACCTCCGTGCCACAGCCTCAGACCTTGAAACAGTCATTCCCCCACTTCTCATTTGTGGAGCCAGGGCAAAGTAGCTCCACCTGTGCCACGCAGACCCCTCCCTGCTTCCAGCAGGACTTGGGGCTCCCAGCACTGGTTGCACTCCCTCACACAGCTGCACAGGGCAGAAGCACATCTCCAGCCCTTAAGCTGGCACCTTGGCTTAACAAATTGTGTGCACTGCAACAGCAAGGACAACCAAAACTCAAAGTTATATTTGCAAGAAATTTCAGTCCTGTGTCATTTAATTATGGCCAACCTGGAACAGTTGTTCTTGCTAAGGAAAATGTACTCTTAACTCTTCCTACACAACAGATGATAAAAAGTTGTGCTTTGAAAGAAAATACTTCCTAGAAAATCCGGAAGATTGGGTAAACAACCTCAGGATTGCCTGATCCTGGCCCGGCAGCAGCCGACAGCACTGGAGAGCAAGGCAAGCACTCAGCAATACAGCCCTGGAAGTTGCATGTCGAGGAACGTGAACGTGATGAGTGACCAGCAGGGGTATCTTTTTCTCAGAACCAGGCTTTGGTCAAAGCTTACCCGGAAAAACAAGATAAAAGTGGGCCAACATCTTAGTCAAGCTGCCTTCTCATTTTAAAGCCATCTTTTGTGGGAGCTTGCTGTTTCACAGTGCAACTTTGTCACGCTCTGATAAAATTCTGCATTTACTTTAATTGGTGTTATCAGTCCTGCATGTCTTTCAATCCAGCATGAAACAAATTGACTGTCAGAAATCTACTGAATTATTCACATTCCCATTAAACAGTATTCTACCCAATATCAAATGTAACATGCTCTGTATTATAGCATAGAAGCAAGGGCCAATTTTGCATTAAATACTGGTTTTAGGGTATTTTTCCCTGCTG